TGGCAGGAGTAGGCGCTTTCTGCAGGTAATAAACACAAGCAGACATTTGACATATTCTCACTATCGGGTGGAACATTCGCTTCTCTATTTCGCTTGAGTTACCAAACACCAAATCGTTGAAGTTGGTATTACATCTTATGAATTCACCTACACGCACACTTACTTTCCTGGCTGACTTGTTCCTTCTGCACCAAAGCATTACGCAAAAAAAAAAAAATCTGAAGGTGACATCATGCTACATGGCTCCCACAGAGTAAGGAAGACTTACAACACTTCTCAGATAGTTGAGCGTTCCGAGAGAAATGGTCTTAAGCTATTTTCAAGACTTGAAATGTGTAGCAAGCTACATAATTGTAGTTGGACGTCATGCATCTATACAGTATCGACACGGACACACAACGTATCCGCTGAGGTGAAAATACGGTGGGAACAAGGAACAAAACCACACATGGTCGGTCATTCAACCGCCGTCTCGATGGCACCAAATGTGCGTTCTTGCAAGAGGCGAATTATTGCTCATCTTGTTGTGTCTACTGAGTAATCATACACATAGCCTGCTCACCAGGGCTACAATCGTCCGGAAAGTGGGTTTTTTTTTTGTTTTTTTTTTAATTCAGTAATTTTTAATGAGTTTTCAGAGCGGGTTTTAATTCCTTTTTATTTTCCAAAAATTCTTTGGTTTAGTTTATTATTTATTAGGGGTTTTTTTTTGTCCCCCCCAGGTTCTGAAATGAACTGAATAATATTTTGGATCCCAGAAATGCAGACTCAGACAAAATGCGATCACAAAAAAAATGTTTATTTGTAGAAAAACGCAAACCGACAAAAGGTACATACAGAAATTGTGGGTCAAAAGGAGCGAGTAAAAAGAAGGCACAAACAAAAAGCGCGTGCAAAAGGCAAGCTACTAATAATCGCCGAGAATACACAAAACATGACAAGACTCCAAATAGCTAAATACTGGAAATACTTGCAAACAAGGAACTTTTAAAAAAAGCAAACCGTGACGCAATACAGCTTGCAGGGTCAAGAATCCGACGAGGAGCATTAGAAGTCGAAGTCCTTAAATACAAGGCAAGATGATACTCGGGAACAGGTGCGCTGGCTGGAGGGCAACGCCCTTCACTCCATTTGGAGCTGAAAACAAAACCAACACAGTCAGACGTCACAATTTTCATTTTTTTTTTTAATCCAAAAGGAGTACTTGTAAACTACAATTCCCAAACAACTGTTTAACTTTCCCTTTGTCGTACGGCCGCACAGTAATACCAAAAATTAATACAAACATATAAAACATGTAAAAACCAACCTTGAACGCTTACGCATGGAAAGAATTAACCAAGATTAAATTGAAGGACAGTTTTGCCAGAATTATTGTTAATTTTGTGTCAGAGTGGCGATAAGAAAGCCGTTCCAAATTTTGCCGCACTGTGTCGTCACAACTTTTGTCTCCGGTGGTGCGTCCGCCGCACGCACAAATCTGCAACCTAAGTCATGAGTGAGATTTGGTTGATGAAGAGTCAAATCCAAACATAGGAACACCATCGAGGACAGGTGTCAAACTCAAGGCCCGGGGGCCAGATCTGGCCTGCCACATCATTTTAGGTGGCCCGCGAAAGCAGATCAAACGTGTCAAGTCCCATGATGCTTTCTAAAATGTCTATCAAAAATGTTAATTCTCACATGTAATAAATAAGAGATATTCTAAGCATTTTCTTGTTACCAAACCTCTCGTGATGGTAATGTAGGATGTAAAGGATGTAACAGACCCCCTGAGCAGCTTTAATTTTTTTTTTTTTAAAATGCATGTCCCCTTTAATATGCCGCTGAGTGTGTTTGCAACTGCACAATGAGTCTGTTGCACGCACATTCACATATGCATACGCACATTCACTGATCCTTTGAGCTTATTAAGGGTTAGGCCGCAGGGAGAATCCCTGCTTTGGCAGGCAGACCTCAGGACAGCATCAAACGCCTCTCATGCTAAAAATATGGTGGATGTTGTTGCTGCACACTGAAACCAAACGATGGAACACGGCGGTCCGAGCTACTGCTGCCCAAATCACGATCTGAACATGCCCGGTGTCTTTCCTCACTGTGTTTTGTCTCTGTGCGTCCAGGTGCAATGTGCAGGACTACATCTGGAACAAAGGCACGCGCTGCGACTGGGCCATCACAGAGTTCCAGGTCATGAGTGCGGTGGTGGGCGTGGCCTCGGTGGCACTTCTCCTTCTCTTCATGATCGTTGTGTTTTTCGCCAAGAGGCTGCACCGCCTCAAGAGCGAAAACAAGCGGCTTCGCAAACGAAGGTGTGTGTTTGTTGGACTGAGTCATTTTTTTTTTCAAGTCTCCGGTCGCCTCGATTGAACCTCAGCTGCGAATTCCTATCACCTGGATGACTGAGAATCCAAACAGATATTTTTCACTGTTATTGTGGAGGATTACGTTAAAAATGACTTGGGCAATTATGCTCATAAGCTAACGATAACTAAGTACCACTGGACTAGCCACAACATTAGGTACTCGTCCACACAGTCACAAATATCTTTACAGAAGTAATTACGGAATGATATCAATATTAACTACTGAAGATGAAGACCGTGAAAGTTTCGCCACTTTTGCCTCACGCCGGAGAGGTTCTCGGTTCTAATCTATGCGGATGTTTTTCAAATGCTCAATTCCAATTGGTCACATCTCCTGGTTTTCCCCTTCAGTAAGTACCGTCCACAGAGCACGGAGCCCCAAACCGACGGCCTCTCGATTTCCACCACCGCCGACGGCTCGCAGCCAAACGTAAGGAAACTGTGCGATTCCCCGCCGCCCGCGCCCCAAGCTCACACTCACAACCTGGCGTACTATGACAACATTATCTGTCAGGTATGCGCCACCTTTCCTCGTGTTTACTCTCCACCCCTTTTCTAATTCCATTTGTCACTATTTTCCACTTTTCTCTCGGTCCTATGCTCTCAGCTATTCCCCATTATATTTTATCCTATTTGCTTGGCTGGTGTATGTTTTATGTGTGTGCGTGTATGTGCACAATTAGGTATATGAGTTGATGTGTGGATGTATCTTGATGGCTTTTTACATTCACCGATTCCCTCAGAGGCCATCATCAACCACCTTTACCTGGGAATTTAAACCCAGAAACTCTTATAACCACTGCCAGGTAAGCGGAGCGGAACGTCCGCATTGGTTTGCTATACAGTATTCCGCTCCCCCTCCCACCCCAGCTTCGCTTTGACCTCTCCGGCTATGAACTGCCACATTGTGACACTCTGTGCAAATCTCCCCGGCCCGCAACAATATCTTGCATCGATCTTGTTGCTGTTGCCGGAGCAACAAGCGACTTTTAATATTTTCCTGAATCCTGGTATGATTAATCACTTGCCGCTAGGCTCTCTGCAAACAATTGTTCAGCGCAACTATACCGCAAGGTCCCTCGCCTGGTTTCCCCGAACGCCTTTGCAGCTTCCAAGCTATTTTGCTTTTTTGAAATTCCCCGCTGTGGCTTGTGCATGTGTTGCTCCTCCAAGCTGCATTCTGTCGTGGAATGTTCGCGTCAACTGGAAAGTAGGAATGTATGATCGTAGATCACCACATGTATCCCACCGGACATAAAATAATAGATACAGTGCTGTGAAATAGTATTTCCCCCTCCGCCCCTCCCCAACCTTCCTGTTTTCTTTGCATATTTATCACATACGAAGGTTTGAGTTCATCAATTTAACATCACGGGGGATGAGCAGACGTCAACATGCATGAATCTTTTGGATGTGATTAACGCGTGGAGGGAGGGGACATTTCGAAAGTAGCGTCCGGCGGTGGCCTGCGCGACCAATCGATGGTGGCCCACTTTGCGCCTGCTGTTGACTGTGACCTTCAGCTGCCTGTGACATGGCGATCAATGAACGAGCTGACACATGCAGATGCGCAGGGCCTCTAATTTCCACTCACTGTCGTCACACGAGCACAGTTTAAGAGGAATAAACGACCTTGGCGGTTAGATTTAAAGAGAAGAACCATTATTGAGGCTTATGGAGTGAATTGTAAATGTATGAAGCATATTTGGTCGTGCTGACTAGCGTGAACAAATTCTGCCTGGCTGGCATTTCGGATCACTGAAACGATAAGTTCACAGTTCACACACTAAATGTCACGTTGAGAGGGTAAAAATCTCACGGCGGCAAGCTGCACTGGTTTAAATGCCACAGGTCTGATTTGATGCTTTTGTTTTAACGTTAAACTGTGGATGAGTAGACAGCTGTTGCGCTCTTTTCAAGATGGCGATGAGTACCATACTATATTCATGGCAGTATTGTACAAAATGTTGTCGTCTTTGTAACATCACTGTGTTAAAAAAGACCAAATACTTTTTGATTTCCCAATGAACGTGAAATTATATTTTTTTTAAAAAGCAACCGCGATATAAACCGCTGCAGCAATAAAATTAACTGTACCATAGCAAACGAATTGACAAAATGATTTCATAATACACGACTATATGTGTCAAGGCAGATTTCTTTTCTTGGATCTCATTAGATTGTGCAGATGCTACCTAATGCACATTTTAATTGAAACATACAAAGTCTACACACCCCTGTTCAAGTGCCAAAAAAAAAAATCCCACTCATTGTGACCTCTTGTACAAAAAAAAAATAAAATGAAGATGCGACATTAGCATTCATGTCACAGAATGTGTTTACATAAAACCACGAGTACCTGAAGTACATCACACCTGCGCAACAAGTCCTTCATAGATCCCTTTTGTTGAGAGTTTTGCTAAAAACAAAGTCAACTTCCCAACAGGATGACCCCAAGAAGCAGGAGGACCCGACCAAGTCCCCTCCAGCCAAGGAAGAGGGCGCCATGAACATCCTCAACTCTCACTCCCCCAAACATGAGAACAACCGGCCAAACTCTGTGGTCCACGACCACAGCCGCAGCCCCAACAACACCGACGACAACGCCGAGGTAAACGTCCTCCACAACAACTTGGTATAATCGTGAGCCGCATCGATCCGGAGCATTCGAGAGCACACACGGCAGCGGGTTTAACATTGTTTACACCCCTTGTAAAGAGCACACTATGTATCCTCGACAGTTTTATCAAGGCCCCGCTGTCAATCTAAGCACATACTGAATTTGAAGGATACATGTTTACAAGGCTCCAATGTCAACACTGATTACCTAGTGGCCCCGTGTCTCGTTTTTTTTTTTTTCCTCCTCTATCCACTTTTAACTAATGACTGACCTTTTCCTCGCTTCTGACGCCCTTTGCCTTGGTCTTTGGCCAATGAACTCGCCCACTGTCTCCCATTCCGCCCTCTCCGCCTCATCGACTGCGCCCGGCCTCGCCTAACTGTCCTTCTCCGCTCGCATGCATTGGTGTTAATCCAAGTGAAGTGTCTGAAAATAATTGCCAGAGTGACAAACGAAAAAAAAAAAAAAAAAATGTGGAAATTAAGTGGATCTGTGCTTGCAGCTTGTTCATGTTCGGCATTGCTAATGGTGTAAATGTTACATGACGTTAGAGTATTTGCTTGAGTCGATATTGGAATCTCGATATATTAAACACGCGGTGTCTTGGTTTTCAATGTGATTTCTAATACTTTTATGTACTTGAGGTTCTTTTGTACTTTTTTGGCTATACATGGAGGACGATAGTTATGAATTGTGGGAAATAAATCTTTTTCATTTTATCCAACTTGTCCTTGTGTTTTGCTCTACTTTCCCTGTAGTGTCTCTCTCTTTGTCTGCATGTCTGCTCACCAAGCTAACGGCCGCCCAGCTGCTCCCTCGCTAATAATAACCCAACGCTCCACTGACCCCGCTTTTGTGCTACTGTAGGCTGCTGACTCGCACACGTACGCACACAAAGTGACAATTCAGCACCATGGACAGCCCCCTATTTCCTAGAATTCCATAGCAGTTTGATATACACATTCACCCGGCCAATACATTAGGGACGCTTGCACATTCCAATGGGACCCAATACAAAAAAAAAAAGGAAATCTGCTTTAATAACGAAATAGGATGTTAATCAGTTAAACGTGTACAGAAACAAACAGTTGCCATCTTAAATGGAATTTTGGTGAAACAAAAAGCTTTTTTTTTTTTTTTTAACTGACTAATCGATTAATCAACAAAATAAACAACAGATTGATAGCTAATTAAAGTCAGAGCCCTAATGTCAAGGTACATATGAGTTTCACTTTTGGAGTTTAACTACTAAACTAAGTTTTCCATCGTGAAAATTGTACAAAGGACCCAACCCAGTACACACACACACACACAAAAAAAAAAAAAAAAAGAGAGTTGTTTTCCTAAAACCACTTGCTGGGAAGCTGTGGATTTTGAGCCAATTGGGTTAAAAGTTGGATCAATTATTTTGACCCAGCAGATTGCGTTGAAGATCTTGATAACGCATTTCTTGGTAGCCTCAACTCCTCAGTGTGGGTAGTTGTTAGCTCTTGTTGGTTCAAAATCTTGACCCGAAGGGCTGGGTCAAATTCTCAACCCAATAAATAACCCGGGATGACGAGGGACCCAGTGTTGGGTTAGCCATTTCGCCCAATTTGGCTTTCTTTTAACCCAGCAGTTTTAAGTTTGTATAGCCCTAAATTGTTTAGCATCCCTCCCAATGAATATCCCTGCATTTCTGCATCTCTACTCTACTTGCCGTATTTCTACACCAGGATGGAGTCACTATTGGTCTGGAGGTGCTCCTCCCCAAAGATGCCAAGCTACGCCCAGAGAACAGCTCCCCCCTCCAGTACGACGTCTTCCTCTACAAGGTAGCAAACAACGCAGATCCGGCTGCCACCAACTCTCATTGCTCCGCCTCCCATCACGCAACCAAATCCCCCAAAATCCCATTGAGTGCGTCCAAGGTGCCCAAATCCCCCAAACACTCGAAGGATCATCGTCACAGTCTCCGCGAGCCCCTCTCCGGGCGCCACTCCTCACCGTTCCTGCACCTTTCACCCGGGAGGCAGCCGTCACCTAGTCGTCACTCCGCGCCCGGGGGCTACTCAGCCCCCACGCGCCGCCAATCTGCCCATCACTCGCCTAGAGGGCGGCCTTCCAGTTTTTATTGCTCAGGTTTGGAAAGAGAGGACGGAGACATTCGTCCATCTCCTTCCTCTCCTCATCTCACTCAGCCTCCCTCTTCACCATCCAGGGCCAAATGCAGCCCGGTCAGCACTCGATCTTTACCGCCAATCTCGTGACTCATTACGCCTCTTACTCATACACTATAATGCACGAATAGAAAGCCGTTTGAGCATTTATTCGATCCAGTTTATTCCTCTAACAACCGACATGAACATAGTTTTAAAAATATGAGCATACCCGAGATGACTGAGGTCACTTGATCGTGAGTAGAAATAAAACGGCAAGAAATACAGAGTTCAAACGTTTTTTTTAAAATAAAATGTATGTGTGTTGAACGCCGCCAAGATACAGCATCGTGTTTGCAACAGGAATATATGACTGTAGCGAATTAGTGTCAAACCAAATTTTGTCAAATATTGTCAAAAATAATTGTTATAAGCACTCTACCTGATCATGTTTTTGACACAAGGACACAATAAATTGGTATTTTCTTTCTTTGTACAACTTACCTAAATCGAACAGAGTTGGCAGCCCAAAATTGGCAGCGTAGCACGAGTTGATCTCAGCAGTCCAAAACAGGATGCGATGTCCCCTTCGACCGGAATCCAGAGAAATTCATGCTTCCAAATTGTTCCGAGGTTTGTGTTGGTAATGTATCAATCAGCAGTCGAGGAACACAGTCCTAAATGTTGGCTGTATTTAGAGTGAAAGGGGTTTGATACGAATTTGCGATAATCGGCGTCAAGGGGTTAAATGGAAGCTGTAGTGAGAAACAAGTGATTTTTTTTTTCATTTATAATTACAAAACTAATGATGCACTGAAAACCCACAAGACAGAAGCTAATATATTATAAAACAGAGGTGATTATATTTCATAAAGAATTCATACAAAGTAACGCAGAGAACTCAATGACTTTGCAAATTATACCTGTGCAGCATGACAGACTTTCGGCAATGGGTAGGGATAAGGATTTTTTTTCCCTTACCTTTGAAATTTTCTACACTGTCTTCTGTCAACTGCCACTCTGTCAGCGCAGTACTAACGAAGCGGTCCATGAGACTGAAACAAAAAGATTGAGCAAAAATGAAATTGTTGTTGTATTGTAACTCGGTGTAAGAGAGCAAACTATTTTTTTTCTAATGAATATTGAAGGGCCATTTTACAAAATAAGAAGAGATTTCCCAGGCCGTAAATTCAGAGAAGAAGGGGGCATACTTGGCGCTCAAAAAAGTTTGTGGAGGGGGGCCGAACGAATCTACGGAAACGTCGTTCCGGTATATTTTAAGTGAAAACGAGCACACGTGTATATTGAGCTAGCTTTACACTAGCAAGTTGACAAGCAGGCGAAGTCAACCCAAACATGACCACGGGAACAAGTTTCATTTGGTATATTCGGTAAACGGCCCGTGGGAACAGAAAAGCTGTATGCTAACGACGAAATGGCGACCCACGGAATTAGAAACGCGGAAGAAACTCGAAAAAATAACGACACTACTTGAATACGAAACTCGGGACAGACAATGTGATTCACAGGTAGTGTGAACAAAATCATTCATTTACCTCGTCGATTGGATAATTTCGACGGCGAACTTTATGTCCGACAGCAAAGTGTACGTGAATTCTCAAGTGGATGGAAGCGAGACTGTCGATTTGAAGATGCGATGACGTCACGACGCGACGCACAGAAATAACGCAAATGCTACATTAAAAAAAAAAAAAAAAAAAAAAACAACAACCCGTAATGGATAAAACAATTCATAAAGCTTCGGGTGAGTAGATAAAATAACCAATTGTTTTGGACTGGGGGATTTTGATCTTGCTCGAAAATGAGCAGCACAGTAGTTTATAGGAAGGTAGCTCTTGGCTCAAGTGGCACTAGTGGGGAGAAAAATGCTACAAGTAGGGCATTTGTGCTTAATTTTTTTTTTGTCTCAGTCGTGCTACTAGTGCACCGGGGTCGCTTTATTTGTGCGCTGAATCGTCTTACTATTGAGGACCAAGAGCATAATAGTACATGAACTTTTAACTGGATATCAAGGCTATGGAATGAATGCTCATACGGTTTTCCATACTATCACGTGTCATGACTCCAACGTAAACAGTCATTATCCATTAGGACTCTAACCTTCATTAGGCTCATTTGGGGCAAGAAGTGGAACTCGGACAACAATGCATGCACCATCCACCTTGACTCCAGACACACAACACAATTTAGAAGAATTCAGTGCATCCCAAACCCTCCAAGTTGGTTGAAACTCAGGTCAAAACTCACAAATAACCCGTCCACTCATTTGCGAACAGGCAGTCCTAACCTGGTGCCAATGTCAGCACATTTTTATGAAAGTAGTTTTATCTGTACATCTTTTTTATTACTAGTATTTCATGTTTTGGTACATTACACACGTTTCTGATTTCCCAATAAATGGATGATAATACCACACGTCTAGCATTTTATTTAATTGGAATATATAAAAGAAATCATATGTAGTCCAACAAAAGGATGAGCTCTGCTGCTACCATGTGGACAATTTATGCACTGCAACAAGATACGTTTTTTTGTTGTTTTTTTTTCTTACTGCAGAAGATCAGACACATTTTTTCATTTCCAATTCATCTTGCATTATATCTACACTATAGACACTGCACCTGAATCAATAAATTAAATTGAATAACAGAGAGCCATCGAGATATTATACATTAATATTCATAAAGCTCATTGTTTCTCAGTGTTCAGTAGTGGTACACAGGCGCCCTCTAGTGGTATGTGATTAAATCACTGTCCAAGTACAGCTTTGCTAGTTTAACTTGGAAAAAAAAAACTCACTACGTTTGGATTTAATCTTGAATAGCTGTTTGATTTTTACACTATTGTTGCAATTTTTTATGTACGTTTTATTTGCAATTAATTTTGATGAAATTATCAATTAGGTGGCGTTTATATGTACTGTATTATGTTGTTATATTTTTATATCATACAAATTCAAGAACCACCAATAATCTTAAATTTTTGTGCAGTTTTCATCCCGGTTGACAAAACAACATCAGGTAAACTCCAACGAGACAACAGAAATACTCAAACTCCGACACAGCCTTGCTGTCCTCTAGTGTCTGATAAATTATTCATAATATCAGGCTTGAGATTAATTCCTTTTTCGTGCTCAAGATGTGAATCTGCCATCTCCAGTCACAGACACGTCAGTTTCATTGTTCGCTTTGAATTAAACATCTCACAGCTTGGCCATATTGGCACACGGCTGTGGGGCCTTATTGGCTGATTTACTTGTCGTCGGAGAGCACCCACCATTCCCAAACGGATCGAGTGAAGGTGAAGTTGTCCTTCCCCCCCACTCTCTGTCTTTATAAATAGGTTGGCATCAGTTGAAGTGGACTTTGTGTCGGTCTACGTGATACTCAACTCTTCCTGAAAGCACTCTGACCTGCCCTTTTCTACCTGCTCACTTCGACCTCACGTCTCAGCCAGAAATGTAAGAAGGAGGGGGAAAAAAATGTACGCATACAATATTTTTCAAAGCAACTTGATGTACAGCAGCATGCGAATCATATGGATAAAACTTCTGAGACTTGCTGTGTGTCTTTGAGACAAGAATTGATTAAATATTTAGAACACGTCGGAACTCATTTCCTAAAATACTCAAAAGGGAAAACATTACGTTGCTCTCAAAAATAAAGGAATAAAGCCTTGAGATCAGCACTAGCTTTGTTACAATCTATCCTTATGTTTTCTGTGATGCTTGCCATCATTTCGGTTGCAGCTGGCTGGGGAAGTAGGTGGTGTATTGTCGAGTGCATACATTATAAACAATCATTTGCATCTTTGGAGAATATACTCTTCACGGAACCAAACAGGCATATTTGGGGAATAAGGGAGCAGGAAACCCAGCCTAAAGTTCAAAACCGGGACACCGAATCTGAGGCAGACATGCTAATTAGGGTGGAATAATTTTGAAAGGTTATCAAATTATAATGTTTTTCTCCTGTGTTGCAATTGCAATTTTATCTGCTATTATGTTTGGGGGGAAAATTATGCATTTTCACAAAATGAAAGTTGACAGTGTACACTGCTGGACATTTACATCTAGCATGATGACACACAAAAATTCTATTAAAAAAAAATCCACAAAGTGTGGTGGAAGTGGTCCAATTATTTTAACAGTAATTAATTCTTTTTTTTTTAAATTTACAAGCAATTGATTTTAATGAACCAATCATAGAATAAAATTAAACGGTAAAAGCATATGCCGTATTGTTTATTTATATATATATTTTTTAAAATGTGATTTACAATGAAACAATAATTTAAAAAGATAAATAGATTACAAAAAATACACTTTGATGGCAGCGTTCTAATCATTTTAGGGGGACTGCCCGCAGGCTATACTTTTCCCACCCCTGTTATGAAAACTCTGTTTCCCTCAGATAGTAAAAGGAGGACACTCCACCCGAAAAATCCTTCCACGCAATCACTGGTTTGCTTTTTTTCTTTTGGGCTCATCACCTGAGACGTTCACCCTGCACAAATCCACCTCTCATCCTTCCCTGAAAACGAGTGTGCCGTGACAACCTCTAGGTTGTAGTGTTGCACCACGAGAGGCCCTCAAAAAGCGTCGCTGGCTTGAGACTTGACAGCCTCTGGGCACTTTGAAACTCAACCGCTCATCTGCATCTTCATTGAAATTCACCCTTTTGTCGGCAACGAGATCTTATGCCGATTCGGTCAGAGTTATAATTTCAACAGTGCGGGTGCTTTGTATTGTAAGGGGAAAATATGCAATGGATAATTTAATAAAAAGGGCTGGAGATAGCCACCCTTAGATGAATGCATTGAGCGGGGGTCGCCTCTCTTTCGTCCCTCCCCCTTTGCATGCCACTGCATCGATTTCTAAATTGGTGTAAATATATGACATCATTCAAATCTACCCCATTCAAACCATATTTTCCAGTAAATCTGATCATATTCCAATATTGTTGTCCCTACACACACACAAAAAAAACCCCACATAACTATCTCCTCACTGATTGCAGTTTTCTTAGTATGCTTTCATGCGCGGCAATATTCTGAAACATCAAGTCAATCCCTTCTATCCTTTGTGAGCTTTCTTTTGTGCGTGTTTTTCGTCTGCGAGCGCGGCCCATTGCCTTTCGCTTGAGATGGGGAAAATGTCACCGTGTGCGCGCGCCCCGGGAGTGTACAAAAGGAACTGTGTTGTGCTGTCCAGACACCCCCACCTTTAAAGGGTCGCTTCACCCAAATGGCCGCCGATCGACATGCTGTCAGATTTCATCACCGCGCGGACCGCAGCCCTTGAAAACTTGTTTCTCTATTGACGAGACGTGTTCAAAAAAAAAAAATCAATGAAGCTTTCAGCAACACACAATTATCATTGCCGCTGTATTCCTTGGAAATTACAGGTGTGCGCAATGCATGTCTCCAAAAGTCAATAAATAAAGACCCCCATACTTTAGAACACTGGCTGCTGAAGAGGAAAGGCCTCCTAGAACAGCTGAACTTTATTTTGGGGTAATCAGAGGCACATTAAATGCTGGCAGACGTGTGCCGACTCCTATTTAGCATGCGCTTGAATGTGGTTGGTTAATCCTGAACACAGCCACATCCACAGTTATGAAAAATGATCTTGGTTATTTATTTTTACTTCCTCTCGATTTAAAAGGTCTAAAAAAATCAGGTTAGGTCACCTCAATGGTGAAAAGTTTTGAACTGATTTCTGTGTTTTTTTTTTTTTTTTAATCACACAAACCTGGCATGAAACAGGGGTGTGTAGACTTTTTATAGTCACTATACATTTTTGTTGCAATAGTGACTCGTACAAAAAAAAAAAATATTGCAATGTTTCAATTGGGGTGGCATACACAAGGACAGAAAAAGCTAATTATACTACAAAAATATTTGGACATGTAGCCTCAAGACATTATATGTTAATTTAAGACTTTCGATAAGGCTTTCTTGTCCACTCATCCAGAAGAACATTAAGATGGAGACTTCCAAACTCTCCTTGTAGTTCATCCTGAAAGTATTTGATGGGTTTGCGGTCCCGAGTTCTTCCACCCCCACACTCACCCAACCGTGCCCACGATGGACTTTACTTTGTGCGCTTTCTCCCCTCAAACAAATCAATGACGTGTTCAAACCGCCCCTGGTCTAGCTGAAAGCCCGACCGATTAAATCATCGATGAAGTGACGTGTCCTAATTCTTTTGTCCCGCGCTCAACAGCGACGCCGCTCACCGAGTGTGAAAAATGTCGCGCGGAGGAAACGCAAGTTGACTCGGTGTCCGCCCATCCTTCTGATGTCTTCATTGTTCCCTTTCCGTCTCCTCTCCTTCTTCAGCCTCCTCGCTTGGTTTCAGTATCGATTCACTCGGTACCCCGCGGTTACATTCTTGCGGTGAAGATTTCCGGCTGAAAGAAACCACTGACATTTCCCTTCCTAATCACGACATGGCTCATTTAAAACCACCCCCTATAAATTACCGAAAGGTTATATACGGTAGTTGCCTTAATGGATGTTATTTGATATCCGACAACTGGGAGGTGCTTTTCCGGTACGGAGCATCCAAAAACCTGAGAAATGAGACACCTTGACTGTAAGTCAAGTGAGGAACGCATGCGTGACCTTGCTTGAACAATCCCCTCAATTAGCCTTCAGACAAAGCGCAAAAGGAGATGAGGTGAAGGAGTCGAGAGTCAGGAAGAGCATCTCGCTGTGTTGCCATGGCGATACCTCCTAAGTCTTACCTCTAATTGTGAGGTGAGCAAGCGGGATAAGACAGAAAGTGGGCGATAGTGCTTTCCGTAAGGTCACAAGTGCGCGCGCACACACACATGCACGGATACACAGACTCAAGGAGGGCAGGTGTAGGAACACCCGCTGAGTCTCACCCGCCGGTGCTGCAGGGAAGGAGCCCAAATTTACAAAGGCAGAAGAAGGGGGACGTCACTCGGAGAGGGGCGCGCGCACCCGAGGGACGCAGATGTGCACGCACGGGAGAGGCCGTGCGCAGTAAGACCACTGGGACGAAAGCTTCGAGGCATGTGGTGATATTCTGACACACAGATGTCACACTCAAGGCCCCGGGGGGTTCAGTTCCTGCCTTTCCCCTCCACACCCATCATCAACTGCTCTGTATGCGACTTGGGAAAAAGTTGTGAGCTAAAAGCTCCAAGGTATTCTGCGTGAAATGTTGCCTGTGCATCAGAACAGGGAGAAAAAAAACATTTTTCTCAATCGTTCACCCCTCATTTGCACGCTTACTCCAATCCAACAGCTTTGACTCGCCGCCCTGGGGCTCAGGCTTCTAAATGAAACTCCTCACCTCACTTCAACATGGCTCCTTGGCACAACGATGTCACCAGATGGCACCAAAGCAATGTTATTGTGTTGACCTGAGCACCAA